TCTTTTCAACATTGTACTGGAGGTTGTAGACAGTACAAAATACAAGAAAAAGAAATAAAAGGAACAAACACTAAAATGGAAGGAAAAATGTAATTATTGTATGAGTATGAAATTATAATGTATAATTATATATGAAAAGGTCCAAAAAACAAAAGAAATAAGTAAATTTAGCAAGGGTGCTAAATAAAAGGCCAATTACAAAAATCAACTGCATTTCTCTGCATTCCCCAAATAATTAGAAAATATGCTTAAATACATATGCATATGTACATGTATAAATAACTCACTACAACATCAATAAATATCATTAACATATGAGTAAATCTAGAAAAGATGTGTAAGGCCTCAAAACAGAAAACTACAAAACCTCATTGAGATATGTTAAAGAAGACCTAAAGAAGTGCTATATACTTTGATCAAGGATTGAAAGGCTCAAGAGATTGAGCCATAGATTCGATGCATCCCCTTACACCACCAAAAAAAAAAAAAAAAAAAATCCCTGCAGCATTTTTTGTGTGAAAATTGACGAGCTGATTCTAAAATTTTTTTCTCACCAGCCTCAAGGTAGCGAGATGATTCTAAAATTTATTTAAAAATAAAAAAGGGGGCCGGCTGGTGGCTCACTTAGGAGAGTGTGGTGGTGACAACACCAAGTCAAGGGTTAAGATCCCTTGGTTAAGAACTAAGGCCCCGGGTTTGGATCCCATATAGGGATGGCCGGTTAGCTCACTGGGTGAGCGTGGTGCTGACAACACCAAGTCAAGGGTTAAGATCCCCTTACCGGTCATCTTTAAAAAAAAATAAAATAATAAATAAATAAATAAAAATAAAAAAGATAAGGGTAACTAACATAATCGTAAAGATCAACACTGGAGGACTTAAACCCCTGGATATCAAGACGCTATAAAATTAAATTTGGAAGTTGGTGAAAACATGTGCAAACAGCACAACGGAACACAACACAGTCTAGAAACATAGATCAAGCATTCACTGACAATAGATTTATGACAAAGGTGATGCTGAGTAACAGTGGAGAAAGGATGGTCTTTTTCAATGAAAGATATTATGTCAACTGAATATTCATATGTAATAAATAAATAATGATTTCTACATCACACCCTTCAGAATATTAATTCCAGGTTTACTGAAAATCTGAATGTGAAAGGTTAAACCACCAGGCTTTGTGGAGATCACAGAGGAGAATGTTTTCACGATCTTCAGATAGAAAAAGATTTCTTATGTAATGGCTGATAAAATGAACTACATGAAAATCAGTAACTTCTGTTCATCAAAAGACAGCCTTAACATAGTGAAAAACCATTGAACAAAAGATGATGCTTGGCCATAAATATAACCAATAAAAAGATTCATATCTAGAATATGTAAAGAACTTCCTATAAAGCAATAAAAAGAAAGACACTATATAGAAAAATGGGTAAGAGACCTGAACAGGAACTACAAAAGAGTTAACATGTGAAAACATATTTAATCTCATTAATTATTAGGAAAGCACAGAGTAAATCCAGTATGTGAGACTGTAGAGCATGTGAAACTCTCACACAGTGCTGTGAAAGGGTAAATTGCTACAATTACTTCAGAAAACTTATTGGTGACAGCTACTAACGCTGACATACATAGGGCCTATGAAACAGGAATATGACTCTGAAGAATGTACATAACAGAAATACATATATACAGGAACCAAAAGCCATGTGCAATCTTTGAGATTTTAAATAAAATGGTCCATTTTTTTAAACCCCCCCAAAATGATACTATGGAATTTATTTCTAAATGACTCACGTTATTGGAGTAGGGCTTTCATTAGATTCTCAAAGGGGCTTATTCCCAAAGGAAGTTCATAAAATAAATAAATTGTTAAATAAATGATTTAGAACCTTTTGCTTGAAGGAGATAAAAGGCCTCTGAACTACTAGGGTATTTCAAAAAGTTCATGAAAGATTTGTATTATCTTCTGACTGTATTTTTTCATGAACTTTTTGAAGTACCCTTCTATAAGTCTAGTCAATGAGTAAGGCAAAACTCAACAACATACTTTAAAATATCTATTGCAACTGTCCATGAACACTTTATAAAAGGAAAGTAATAAAAGGAAAGTAATACAACAATACCTTGAGTAATAAATGCTCTGAGAATGATACGCCTTTAAAATGAAGTCATTGACATTAAAAACAAAACAAAACAATTCATAAATCAGGTGAGGTAGAGTTAGTGTGATCTTTTCCCCCTAGTTCACATTCCAGCAGCTGCCCAGGAAACAAATCATCTCTTCACACACCATCCCTGTATCTGGTATATAACAAGAGGTAATAAGGCTGTAAGGCTAGCAATTTGCAAAATCCTACATTTACTAAACTTTCTACTTTAAGCCTCTGGCTACCCATTTCCGTAGCCAGTTTTCCATGATAGAGCAACTGCTCCCTCTTTTTAGGAACACTGCCTTCCTTTTCCTTATCTGCTATCCTATATCAACATGGTAAAGAACAGGTCATTGAACACACTTTTATACACTTTTGCATGAGCATTTTTTAGTCACTATTTTTTAGTCAATTACTTCAACTAAACATTTACATTTTTAGACAGAGGGAATTTCAGACACTGTCAAATGGGAAATAACTAGAAAAAGAAGTGATCCTGAAGTCACAATTATACAAAATAATGGCCAAGCAGGTCATTTAATGCCTTATTTAACATGTTTTAGTATGACTGGGGGTAGATGGACACATGGAAGAAGAGAGATTTCCCAAGACCAGCCTTTACTTTCCTGGAAAAGGTGACGTGGGAACTAATCTGGCTGTAAATGCAAAACCCTACTCTTGGGTTTTGCTATTGGCCAGTATTACAGGTTTGAGCTTGCTTTAGGTTCCAGACCCACCTATCTTAACACAATTCTTCTAAGAGTGCCTTCTTTGCATAAGACATTCCATAACTTCAATGCAAATTGCATCTCTTCCCACAGACTTCCTTTATCTTTCCAGATGTATATTCCATCTTCCCAGTATACGTAGTTTTGTCTTATGTAACATTTATGGTATCTTTTCATCTTTCCTTTTTCCAATGTCTGGAACACATTTTAATATCTCTTACATTATTTCTACCTCTGGTAATGGAATTTCTGATAACAAAGTATGTACTTGGAACATATTCTCTTCAGTACCAGCAGAATAAATATTTTGAAGAAGAATAAGATACAAGCACAACTTCAATTGGTAGGTGAAGAAAATAAGTGATAAGACAGGATAGAAAAAATAAAGGGATAAAAATGTGAGTATTTCAGAAAAATATTACAGCTCCTGCTCTACATTTTCAAGAAAGGCTTTACGAGGTCTATTATAAAACTGAAAAACACTAAGATATTAAAAGAAGCCAATCTACTACTCATGCACATTTTAACACAGTACTTTCAGAGATGAAAAATAACTTGTACTTTAAAAAAAATTAACACTTTCACCTTATCACCCTTATCAAAAGAAATTAAAAGAAGATGCTACTCAGCTTGTAGTAGAGATTCAATCATTAAGAAAGGCTCAATATAGCTTCCTAGCTTCCTCCATAGTTCTGTCGACAAGTCAGATCTGCCCAACTGAACTTAAGGGGCCGGTCGTGAAAACGGTATACTAATAGTTTAAGATTTTTAACCTGGCTTGATCTCACTGGTGTTAGAGGTCATTACAAGTATATCTCTCGATGGAACGTCACTGGACTCAAAGTGATTTTTGTTCAGAATAAAAACTGTAACAATTATGATCGACGGCTAAGAGTTTGTAACAGCTCATAATGTTTGATGTTATCTGAACTGTGTACCAAAAATAGAGGCGTAATGATAAGGAAAAATTAAGTTTATGAAACTTCTCAAAAGATATTAGGGAAATACTGCTCTAAGATATCGGGAGAAAGGTCTGAGAGACGCAAAGAATTGAGAAAATTGAGGGAAAAGGGAGCAAAGGACAAGTACAAAGCTCAGAGGAACTGATGTGTTCACACATTGAACTGTTAAAAGGTTTGCAGTTAATTCTGGAAAAATAGTTTACTATAGCCATAATTCCAGAATACCAAAATAAGAATGTCGAGATTTTTCTTTTTTTTGATAGTGAAAGAAAAATCTGTAGGCCTCAAGGAAGGTGGAGAAATATTTGAAACACCAGAGAAATGGAAGCAAGGAAAACACGAACTGCTTTCCTCCTTTCTTCCAGTCAGTATTTCGGAGGAGCCGAATGGATCTTCACCTCAGAGGACCCGAAAGGAATCAGGCAGTCTGTAACTTCCCAACCCTAAATCAAGACCTAGTTCTGAGAGAATAAGCTGCCACAATTTTTCCTACTTCGTTGTCACCAAGAATGTGTACCCAGCTGACTGTAATAGGCAAGGCACATCTAGGGCTCCCCTTCCGCCACCTGATTTAAGAAGATAAAAAAAGGCAGACCTGGTCTTTCGTCCCCACTCGGGGCCTCGGTACGGGCAGCGGAGAAAGGCGATCTCTGCCCTAGGGGGGGCGCAGCCTCGCCGGCTCCCCGGGCAAAGAAGCAGTTTCCGAAGGCCTCGTGCCCAGCACAACAGGGACAGGAGAAGAGACTCTCCAGAGAGTCTCCGGAGCTCAGCCTCCAGCAACGAACGAGTCCCTGCAGCCCGGCGCCTGCGCCCAGGCGCACCTCTCCCGCCGACCGTTTGTATTTGGAACGGTGGGTCCAAGCCCGCCACGCACCGCGGCAAGACCTTCAAAGCTGCGGGCTCCTCAGCGCTCCGGGATTCCTCGCTTCAGATTCCACAGCACGTTTGTCAAGACCCTTGAGGACTCTGACTCTCCCGAGAGCCTCTTTGATGGCCAGTTCGATTCTAAATCGCAGGTGATAAGTTTGTATAATTTTGATGGTCAGAGTGGCTCGGGCTGTGAAGTGAGAAACAAGGAATGTATAGCGAATCGTAAACAACGAGGATAAAAATGCTTTTTCTTGAAGGAGCAGAATCTGAACGTCACTTCCGGCAACAATAGGAAACGTCAAAACGCAAACGGTCGGCAGCTCTGGCTCCTGCAGCTCGCGGTGTTCTGCGTTCGGAGGGGTCTGGTACTGTTTCTGGTCCTCCCACTGCCGTCACTTCTACCAGCGTGAACAAGTAAAGTTTGAACCGGCTTCTTCATGGCCTGGGCACCAGTTCCCGGCTGAACTATTTTATTTTTGGCTAGAAGCCCCCGCCCAGAGGCCGATTCGTCGCGGCGGCGGTGGAGGTCACAGGTCGCTCAGGTACAAACGTCAGCCTAGATATTTCCGGCCTCTTGCCTCCCTGTACACCCTCACTTTTCTTCTCGGAAATAAAGACAGCTGGTGCTTGCTCGTTGGCAGAAACTGGCCGACCAGCAATAGTTTGGAGCCAATGACAGTGCAAAGCATCTTGAGTGACAGCAGTGATGGCCAGTTAAAGTGAGGAGTCGGTGTCGAGAGGCGGGAATGGGTGTGTTCCTTCTGTTTCTAGGCCATTGGGATATAGGTAGCCTTGGGACCCCAGGTATTAACCCAGCGTCATTCTGAAATAAACCCGAGAAACAGCGGGGGTTAACTTTCTTCAAGCCCAAGTGCTGCATTTCAGATTGAATGTTATTTTAGTGCCTAGGCATAGTTTGGGGTTCTTAACTACTTTTTAAGTAATGTGAATGCAAACATATACAGTTAGGGTTACGATGAATTGCCGGTTGCTACAGCAGTCAAACTTTGGTTATCAAATTTGGGAAACTCTCAATTTGCTTTCTCGTTTGTTTTTCTGTGACTGGGATCTAATCTCTTCCCTAATAGGTGCTCAGTGAATATTATTTATTGACCAAATTTACATAAATGAATCCCATTCCTCAGTAATTTGATTTCTCTTTTAGTTTTATTTTTAGGTTCAGTAGGTATTTACTAACTTAATAATTGATTCTACTTGTTTTACAAGTATATTTTATTTTCGAGGATGGTAAGTATTTCTCCCGACATCAATATACCATGATCTTTATTACTGCAAAGTCAAACCAATTTGTTTTATATTTCAGCTTTCCTTCCCTTTCTTTTAATGTTTGGAGTTTGATAAATATATTTCTGAGATAAGCATTCTCCCTACCTCCCACCCCCATTTTGTCAGCACCACGCTCAGCCAGTGAGCTAACCGGCCATCCCTATATGGGATCCGAACCCATGGCCTTGGTGTTATTAGCACCGCACTCTACCGAGTGAGCCACGGGCCGGCCCTCCTCCCACCCCCATTTTGGAAATAATTTACAAAATACAGTAGGTCTCAGAATAAAGAATACATAAATTGTATTATCTTTTTCAGATTGAGTCAGAAACTTTCATCTAGTTAACCTGATAATTAGCCTGATGAGATATTTCATTATTTATCTATTGCTGTTTAACAAATTACCCCTAAATTTAACCCAGCTTAAAACAACAAATATTTATTAGCTCAGCTTTTGTAGGTTAGTAATTAGGGTGCATCTTTAACAGAGTGCCTCAGGCTCAGGTTCTTTCTTGAGATTGCAGTCAATATGTAGTTTGGGTCCATGATCTCACCTGAAGGCTCCACTGAGGTGGGGAAGGTTATACTGCCAAGTGAGGTCACGTGGTTGATGGCAGGCCTAGATTCCCCACCACATGGTTTCTTTTTTCCATAGGGCCACCTCAAAATATGGCAGCTGGCTCCCCCTAGGGTGAGCAATCCGAGAAAGAGTAGCCAAGATGGAAGCCACAGACTTTTTTTTTTTTTGTCTTTTTTGTGACTGGTAAGGGGATTGCAACCCGTTGGCTTGTGGTCGCCTGCACCGCGCTCAGCCAGTGAGCGCACGGGCCAACCCCATACAGGATCCGAACCCGCGGCGGGAGCGCTCCCAAGCACCGCACTCTCCCGAGTGCGCCAGGGGCCGGCCCACCACAGTCTTTTATAACCTAATTTTAGAAGGGTTATCCCATCAGGACTGCCATATTGTATTTGTTAGAAATGAGTTGTTGCATCCAACCCAAAATCAAGAAGAGAAAGATTACACAGTAACATGAATCCCAGGAGGGAGGGATCACTGGGGGCCATCTCAGAGCCTGCCTAACAGATACCCTGGCTGCTAATTTTTAGGAGATAATAGGTAGGAATAACTGAGCAAAAAATATGTCCAAGAGAAATTCAGTCAGACAAGGAAAAATGACAGATTGTAAAGAAATAAACTTGTACTAGCATTATCTTACTTGGAAAAGGGTTTTTTGGGTTTTGGGGGGGTTTTTTTTGGTCCTTTTTCCCCCTACTAATCTGAAGAAAGGCTTATCTCTTATTTTTCTTGGGAAAATTGACCTGAGGGATGATGTGTGTAAAAGGAACATATGTGTTTTCAAGGTCTACATGAGCAGAGCATATCACAACTGGAGATTGTGTGTTTCTTACCCATTGCCATTTTATGTGGTTGAAATTGATTTAAAATAAACAGGAGCAAAGATTGGTTTTCAGGAGGAAAGAAGCTAGGAAAGGGCTAGAGATAAGTACATATAGAATGCAGGTCAGTGGCAGCCTTTAAGTAGGTGTGATCAAATAGGGATGGGAGAGATGTGTCTTAGAATAGAAATGTATTTTGGATGTATCTTTTAGGCGATATTAGGTGGCTGGTACACCTTTCTGCATTACCTGACTGCACATCAGCAGCACAGCTTTTGTCAGTAAACCATATAAGCTTACCAGAAATAAAAGATACAGGCTTCTGCGTTTGTTGTGCCACTGTTTTGGCTGTGACCCAACATAAAAATGACTATGCTTCTTCCAGGTTTGAAAGATGTTTTAAATACTTGTTTGTTAGTAAAATATTATTTGAGTTTCTCCCATACCTCAGGTGCTTAACACCAACCTGAATGTGGCAGTTATGAAATTGTGTTTGGCTTTTTAAATCAGGGCTCACATCCCCATACTGGACAGCTGCCAAAAATTGGAAGTTAAAAAAAACAAATCAGGGCTCCCTATGAGGTTAACATAATTTATAGTAGGTTACAGCCAGTTTAATACAATTTTGGGCCCTTAGGATATCTGCAAAATTTTAAACAAATGCTTGAGAAAATAACACAGATGAAATACTTCCATCCACAAAATATTTTATGGTCATAACTTCTAGATGAGCCAAAACATTTATCATAATTTATTATATATGATAAATTTAATGGGGAATTTTTGTGTGTTTACTATGCTTTTTCTAGGTTAAAAGATATTTTTCTCATTTCACAATATGAAAACATTGAATTACCAAGAGGTTGATCTTTTCTTTGATCACCATGCATTGAAATTAGTCATTCAGATTACTTTATAGTCCATTATTTAACCAACTGCTAATGTAAAACTATCTAATTTTTTTCAACATCTTGATTCAAATTTAGGAACTGAGGATATTCCTTTAGCTGGCCTGTGGTAATGTATCAAAATCATTAATGTTGAAGTCAAAGAAATACATATCTAACTCAAGTTGCTTTTTTATTGAATTACTTAATATTTTAAAACAATTTTAATGAAAGACAGCTGTTTCAAGAAATTTATGTTCCCTGCTTTTTCTTTTTGTGTCTTTCAGAGTTTTGTTTTTCTGACAAATTTCTTGACATAGATTCTAAAGTAAACTAAAACCTCCTTACTGACTTGAGTAGGTTTATATCATATTTGGGGCAAGTATTTTAGTGATATAGAGGTAGAAAAAGATATTTGTGATTTCAAGTTTAGTCAGTAGGTTTAGGGAGTTCTGTGATCAGCAGTTTGTATATTCTTCAGGAATAGATTACATAGTATTTGATAAGCTATTTGAATGAAGGAACCAGATTTTAGTGAGTAAGCCAAGCTTGGAGAGCCCATATCTGCTCATTTAGAGTAGTGATTTGTGGAAGTCATGAACATGGGGGAAAAAGAGATGGGAAGGACAGATGCTAAACACACAAACACAAAATCATCTCCATCTCCATCACCTCTTCATCTTTCTTTTTTTTTTTTTTTTAGGGTTTTCTTCCCTCATTTTAGTTTTATAGAATCATGGAATTATTTTTTCAATTTTTTAAATGTGGTGAAATACACATAACATAAAATTTATCATCTTAACCATTTTTAAGTGTATAGTTTAGTGGTATTAAAAACATTCACATTGTTGTGCCACTATGTAAGGAAAGTAGAAAAAGTTTAGTCAGGCTTACTCGCCTCACATCTGTTACAAATAGGCAAGATACAGCACATTCACTAGAAACAAGTTATAAAAGTAGTGTAACTGTGCATGTGTGCCCATTTACTGATTCAGCACGATTGTTGTAATTATGTGATGCTTGGCTTGTGGTCGCTATTGTGTTCGGAGAGTATAAAAGTAACTGCTCTGAACTGCTGGTTGGCAAAGCATGGAGGGTCAGTGGAATAGAGCCAGAGCTCATGTCTGAGAATAAAGCATGTTGGTGAAGCTCATATCTGAAGAATAAAATATGTCTACCTTGCATAAAGCTGCCAGAATCTTCTTTCAATTACATGACTCATGTCCTGCACAGGAAGGGGCAGAAGGATCTGAGATTCCTGCTCTACACACTATCATCACCATTCATCTCTATAACTCTTTTCATCTCATAAAACTGAAACTCTATTCCCATTAAGCGATAATTTGCCATCCTTATCCCCATCCCCAGCCCTTGGCAATCACCATTCTACTTTCTGTCTGTATGATTTTTACTATTCTAAGTACCTCATATAAAGTAGAATCATACATTGTCTTTTCGTGACTGACTCTTTCACTTATCATAATGTCCTCAAGGTTCATCTGTGCTGTAGCATACGTCAGAATTTCCTTCCTTTTTAAGGCTGCATGACATTCTCTTGTATGTATATATCACATTTTGCTTATGCATTTATTTATTCATTCACAGACACTTGGGCTGTTTCCATATTTTAGCTGTTGTGGTAATGCTGCTATGAGCATGGGGGATACAAATATCTCTTCCACACCTTGCTTTCAATTCTTTTGTGTATATAACCAGAAGTAGGATTGTAGATCACATGGTAATTCTATTTTTAATTTTTTGAGGAACCTCCAAACTGTTTCCACAGTGGCTGTACCATCTTACATTCCCCACCAACAGTACACATGGGCTCCCATTTCTCTGCATCCTTGTCAACACTTGCTATGTTCTGTTTTTTTGACAGTAGCCATCCTAATGGGTGTGAGATGAAATCTCATTGTAGTTTCATTTTGTTTGTTTTGAGTGGCTGGCTGGTAGGGGATCAGAGCCCT